CCGACACTCTCCTCCTGGCCTCTGCCGAGATGACTCAGCCCGAATTATCCTCCTAATTGTCTCAACCTGTGTGGACTCCCAGCTGGGGCCCTCCTTCCCCCAAACGCACAGAGCCAGTCCTTGAGGGCTGCAGACAGGAGGAAAGATCTGCCGTCTCCGAAATGGAATGTGGACTTCCAGGCCCTTCCAGCGTTCTTACAAACGCAGTCGGTTTTCGCTTCCCTCTGCCTTCCGTCCACCCACCCCTCTGCATGCGTGCCTGGGTGTCAGGGGCCTTTATGAGAGTTCCTGCTTGGAACAGAGGACCTCTCCCTTCGGGCATCCCCGCTTCTCCACCCCTGACCCTTGCCTTACGTTTGGTGACCTGCCTAAGGAAGGGGGAGCGTTCGATTTGAATCCCCCCTCAGGGGAGGGATGATCTTGCATTGACGTTTGGATCCCACCCAGCAGAGCTAGTGGCACGGAGAAGCTATTTTCGAGAGACGTGGGTCGATAAAGAGAAGGAAAAAAAACAAAAACAAAAACCCAACCAAGAACCAAGGGGAAACCTGAGTCATGGCCAGGGAAAAGGAGACCTCCAAGGAATGGGGTGCTACAGCTGACCAGATTCCTGTAGCAGACGGAACAGCAAAAGCAACAGACACATGCAAATTAAGGGATCAGCAGAATCCCACAGGGAGACAGGAGGACCCACTAGGAGGTGGGTTTTTATATTCAGGATTCCGTAAAGCATCTTTTTTTTTTTTTTTTTTGGCCAAGAAAACTCCCCTACATTGGTTTTATGAATGCACAAGTCTTGGGAATTGAACAGGTATTCAATTCCCACAGAGGAGGCAGATTGAGGCTCATGGAAGCCAGGCCCGGACTGTGCCACCGTAGGCTGGGGGACATTGGGAGCCTGACTTATTTTTGAATATATATTTTTTTAAATGTCTGTTGATTTATTTTGAGAGGCGGGGAGGGGCAGAGAGAGAGGGAGGGAGAGAGAATCCCAAGCAGGCTCCATGCTGTCATCACAGAGCCCGAGCCGATATCAAGAGCTGGGTGCTGAACCGACTGAGCCCCCCGGGCGCCCCTTTTGAACATTTTTCTTTAAGTAATCTCTATACCCAATGCGGGGCTCAACTCACTGACTTATTTTTGATTGACAGGTGCACAGGAATTAATGGACTCCCTCAAGGACACTCATCCAGGAGTACTCAACATTATCATCAGTCTGGACAGAACTTCCCCACCAATCCATTCCCCTTCCTGCTACCACAGAAATGGGCCACCTCCCAGGACACCTGTCACCCGTTTATGTCCATGTTTATGTATCCAAGAACAAAGAAGGATGCCTTGAGTAGGTAGTTTTTAAATGAACGTAAGAGACATCATCTTCTCATCATTGTTGCATTTTTTTTCTCCATCAGTACTAATTTTCAAGACTCATCCTTGCTGGTAAGTACAGAGGCAGCTCCCTCCTTTTAACTACTGTATGATATTCCATCGCGTGACCACCCCCTATGTTATCTGTCCATTTCCCCACGGATGGACGTGTAGGTTATTTCTAAGCCTGCCTTGCTAGACACTTCGGTTTCTTTCTTTAGTTATCTGTTCTATAAAAGTGAGGTACCACAGATGACTTCCAACTTTCCACGAGCTGGCCGCCTGCAGCACAGACCTCACCTCTCGAAAGTTCACAGTCCGATGGGACTTGCAGACTTGTACATACGAAAAAGGAATTTCACTGCACAGCGGAACAGGGTGCCAAATACGTGTCTTAATTCTCGTCTCTGCCGTCGGTCTCTAAACTTCTTCCCACCCTGAGAAAGCTTTCCACGGTGCCCAGCCCTCCTGGAAGAACGAACAAGGCCAGTGAGTGGTCTGGCACTGGGTGGGGGTGGAGTGGGGTGGGGTGCAGCGCCGCTGATTTCGTAGGGAGGCCCCGCCTGGTCCGTCAATAACAGCCCAGGCTGGGCAACTTCCTGCCCCAGACTAGCAGGACGCATCGCACATCACGCAGCGGGAGTCCTCTCCTTGTTATTTATGTTGGCTGCAAAATCCAGGAAATCGCCACTGGATATATAGCCCAATGTCTCAGGATTAAATCCTGTTAGTATGAATCTCATTCCCCAGCACTCCCCTGGGATCCAGACCACGGGGCCTGCCCGATGGTGGATCCAGGTTTGTTGTTACAGGGGAAAAAGAAAGAAACCAGAGCCGTCGAGGAAGCTCGGGATCGGATGTATGGCCTGGAAGAAGCAGTGCCATATGCTTAATTGCGCTCCGATTGCACAGAACGCTCCAGAATCGCTGCTCTGGGGTAGAGAGATGCTAATGGCCGTCATTACATTTGGACAGCCCTGTTCGGTTATATTGTGATCTTTGCAACCACCGTGTGGTTCACCGAGAGTCGCCAGCCTAGTGTAACATGGGAGAAACGTTTGCATTTGCAAATGCGTCCTGAGAACCTTATACAAACCACACCTGGCTCCGGGAACTGAGGATAGGGAAAAATGGACGCTCGTGGAACTTCTAGTCCAGCTGGGAGAGACGAGCAGTATACACACACACGCATAAGTGCTGTGAAGGATAAAGAACTATGACACATAGGCACAGGGACTGGTTTTATATGAGTTAGCCTGGGAAAGCCCCCTTGAAAAGGGAACATGAGCTGTGGGAGTGGAAGAGTGTTCCAGACAGCAGAAGCAGCCAGTGCAAAGGCCCTGAGGTGAGTTGCCTGGAGTGTTGGAGAAGCAGGCAGCAGGAGGCCAGTGTGGCTGGAGTGGAGTGAGGGAGAGGCCTAGGAGGGGTGAGGGCAGAAAGAGGGTCAGAGTAGAGGGAATCTGTACTTCCGTCTGAGTTACATGGCAGGGCTTTGAGCAGAGGAGGGATGTGACCTGTTTGATACTTAAAGAAGCCCTCTGGCTCCTCTGTGGGAGGGGAAGGGGCCAGGTAGGAAGGTCTGGAGCAACCTCCCAGGAAGAAAGGATGGTGGCTGGGCCAGGTCAGCGTCGTCGTGATGGACAAGGTTCAGAAGGGTCGGGATTCTGGACCTATTTTGAAGGTGGAGCCCACACAATCTGAAGTGGAGAGGGAGAGACGCACTTGACCCAGTCAGGGAGTGGGGCGTTGAGCCAGGTCTCCTCTTTGGCTGTTCCAGCTTCTAGCTTCTTTCCACTGCAGCCTGTCGCTGGGGCCTTGATGCACTTGAACAAGCACGCTGACGGCCACTAAATCCAGTGGGTTCGCACAGGCGGGTTCAATCCCGGAAGGTGATCGCCTGGCTCCTAGAGTCGCAGACTCTACTCTTTGCATCTGCTCCCTCTTGCCAGCTTGATCCCGAGCAGGCTGTGGGACCAGGATCCTGAGGCTAGGGCGGAGTGCTCACAGACAAAACCCCATGCAAACAATCCTTTGTGTTTGCACCACAATCCAGAGAAGAGGAGAGCCTTTCCATCTTTATCAGACAGAGGAGGTGGCAGGTCTGTTACCCTGAGGCACCCGGGCAACTTGGAGTCACACCGGGGGTGGCGCTCAGGTGATGGGGAGGTCACGTGGCTGGGCTCTGCCCGTGGAGGAGTGAAGGATCCTGGTGCTGAGATCCACTCCTTTCCCCTTGGCTCAGCTTATTTTCTGGGCTCCCTGGTCCCTGCTCCCCACAACCCCCACCCGGCTCCCCAGCCTGGAGATCTCACACATGAGTAAGTCTTCGTGCACAGCTGTGATTATCTGGGGAGACGCAGACTTAAAACATTTGAAGGCACTCAGGGATGTCAAGCTGGGACAATCAGGTACAAGGCATCCGGCCTCTTGTTCATTCTGCCTACAGAAGCTCCCAGGACGATCAAGGAAGAAACAGCAATCCCGTCTTAGAACGTTCACAGTTCCACTCCATTCCATTTTAGAATTTCTTAGATCTAATTCCTTATTTGTTCCATCTTGGGACTTCTAAGGTTTTCATTCCCTTAAAAAAAAAAAAAAAAAAATCCTAGATCTAATTCCTGCCCTAACTAGAATGTCCTTGATCTCATTTCTAATCAAGTCCATCCCAGAACTTTGGAAAAGTACGTGGGAAACAGGTCTGGGTCACTTTCCCTACCATGGCTATTTGCTTGTATCTAATTATTCCTCCAGTTTGTTTGGAGTGTCGACTATAGGCCAGGCACAGAGCTGGGAACTAAGAATGCACAAGTGAACGGGGCAGAACCTCTTCTCCTGAGGGTCTCACGGCCGGCAGGGAGGCAAACACTCCACAGAAGTAAACGATGATGGTATCTGGTGCTAAATTCATGCAAAATGTCCTATAATCCACTCTGTGCCAGGCACACAAGTGAGAAAACATGGGCTCTGCGGGCACTTGTGGCTCCCTGCCCTGGTCCCCAAGTTCAGGTGCGCACCAGAATCACTGCTGGAAACTGATGCAAATGCAGAACCCTGGGCCTGAGACCTCAAAGGTTCTCATTCTGCAGGGCCGGGGTACGGCCCACGTAAGGTGACTGTCCCCATTTGCCCAGACTTGAGGGTTTTCCCCGGGACGCAGGACTCCAGCACTAAACCAGCATAATTCTGAGCAAACTGGCACGGTTGGTCTCCCTCGGCCCAGGAGTCTGCATTTTTAAATCTTTTTTTTTTTTTTTTGAAGTTTTTATTTTTGAGAGACAGAGACAGACAGAGTGCAAGTGGGGGAGGGGCAGAGAGAGGAGGAGACACAGAATCCAAAACAGGCTCTAGGCTCTGAGCTGACAGCACAGAGCCCGACGCGGGGCTTGAACCCACAGACCGTGAGATCGTGACCTGAGCAGAAGTCAGACGCTCAACCGACTGAGCCACCCAGGCGCCCCCAGGAGTCTGCATTTTTATTTTATTTTTGTTTTTAATTTTTTTCATTAACATTTATTTATTTTTTGAGAGTCAGAGAGAGACAGAGCACGAGCAGGTGAGGTGCAGAGAGAGGGAGACACAGAATCGGAAGCAGGCTCCAGGCCCTGAGCTGTCAGCACAGAGCCCGACGCGGGGCTCCAACCCACATGAGATCATGACCCGAGCCGAAGTCGGACGCTCAACCGACTGAGCCACCCAGGTGCCCCAGGAGTCTGCATTTTTAAAACGCAACCCCAGGTGATTGAGATGTAGGCGGTCCACAGGGTCTCGTGGGAGCTGACCGGAGGCCCTGAGCCCCAGTCATCCCTGAGGTAGGTGGGGAGTTTGCGCGGGCAAGGTTGGCTGGCCCGGGGGCAGGTAATCCAGGCACAGGAGCCGGTCTTGGGTGTAAAAGTGCCAGTTGGGTCTAGGCACCCCGAATCTGCTGACCTCGATCCCCTTCAGGCTAATGTTGGGGAGAAGCAAAGATGAAAATGGATTGACGAGCCCAACTGGGCGGAGAAGACCGAGCTTGTCGATGAAGCGGAGCCAAATTTCCCGGCGGCCCCTAGCTGGGCACAGCTGAGCTACGGCTTCCGTGAGCTGCAGGATATTTGAAGTAAAGGCTCAACCTTGGAGAAGTATTAATGAAAACGTCACAGGCACTAAAGTCAAAGCAGATGCGAAGCCGGCTACACGAGCAGACAGAGCTGATAAGAAACAGCCCAGGAGAGAACAAAACCTCTTGAGATTAGGTCAAGGGCAGACCAAAAAAAAAAAAAAAAAGACATCCGGGGGTCCCCCCATGGCAACTCGGAGGAAGGCTGTCGCTCCTATGAAACAAGCTGACATTTCTGTGCTGCTGTGTTATGTATCGACATCCCGACAGGGCAGCGTTCGGAGGCCTCCACATCGGCAAATAAATATTACGTCTCCATCTTCAGCTAAGCAGAGTTGCGGTGCATTCCTATTACTTCATGTGGATCAACCATCTGGAAGTTGAATCGAGCCACAGGGTAAAGAATGGGATCCAATTTTGCATTCACCAAAATAAGCCGTACTAGTCTCAATTTATGGCAGATGGTTATGCAGTCTCAGCGGGCCAAAAAATCTCTCTGCAAAAGAATAAAGTTTATGCCAATTACTGTAATAGGAACCAGCACAACAACTGCGTGGGGTTGACTAAGATCGCAGATATCGTCGTACGGCACATAAACCACGGGGGGCCGGGGGAACGATGGGGACCCAGTTAATTCATTAAGATAACGCGAGAGAAATGAGGAGCAGAGTTAGTCATAAAACAGAAATATTTCCTCGCCAAGGATGGGAGGGGATCGGGGTGGAAGGGGCCTCAGTCGTGCTGCGGGCAGGGGCAGGGGAACGGTGGACGGTCAGTGGTTAAGGGAGACGGTGTGGCTGCTCCACACAAAAGGCAAGGGAGGAGAGCGGTTGAATCGGGGCTCCTCGGCTCCATTCACTCCAAACAGATCTGTGGAGCATGGGGCTGCGTGGTGGGCAGGCCCTGAGACCACAACAGTGGCGGGTGCTCCTGGCACCTGCCCTTAGGGATGCTGGCCTCATCGGGCGGTCAGGGGAAGTGTCTTTGAGGACCTGGACCCCCAGCTGAGGTGGAAGAAGGAAGGGGGGAGGGGAAGGGACTCCAGGCCTAGAGGACACCGTGGGCTTTGCTCACGAGATGCCGGATCACAGAGGCGAGGGGCCAGGATGGATGGGGTGGCCAGGCCCGACACTCAGGGCCTCTCGGGCACAGGGAGGAGGTTTGGCTCTGTCCTCAAAGCAAAGATGGAATGACTCAATCGACCTTCCTTTTGGAGCGAGCCCTTCCTGCAGGAAGCCCCGTCTCTTTTCAGCTGAGGGCAGCTTCTTGACCTGTGTGTGCCCTAGTGTCCTCAAGGATCGGGAAATGTGAGAACGCCCCACTCTCCCCAGGGGCGGTGTCAGGGTGCAAGTGTGGGCCGCAGCAGGGAATGTGCGGGTGGAGGAGAGACCCGCTCTCTCCCCCACGAATGGCCCTGCCTGGGCAAAATGCTGCCGGGCCCTCCCGGCCGGCACCTGATCAGAGACCAACCTCCACCCAATCAGCACCCCTTACATGGGAAACTTTTGTGCCCTAATGAAGGCTGGAGAAAGGATTAGGCGGCTGGTTTGGGGGCACATCAGGCTACAAAAGGAAGTTGCTTGTCTCCTAAAAAATGTTAGTTCAGCTTTTGTACTTGCTTTTAAATGAGTGCTGCTGGCTTAAAGAATGTGGACATTTGGGGCTGAAAATAAGGTGACCAATTGTCCTAACTAAAGCACAGGGCAAACGAAGTCCTGGCCAAACTAAGCCCAGGACTGTCCCAGTCCAGCCTCCCAGGAAACTCCTCTCTCCTGGGTGAACTGGGATGGGCTGGTTGCCCTCAAATACTAGTAGGAGACCAATGAAGGGGTAAATCCGATGCTGCAGAGACTTTCACCCATTACTTACACATTTCCTGTCTCATGGCCACACTCCACGCTGGTGTTAGTACCCCAACCTTCACGGGCAGGACGCAGAGGCTCAGGGGGGCCGAGACTCACTCACTGGCCCGTTGCAGTAAGCGGACGTGGCCGACTCGGAACACAGTCGTCGGACGCCGAAACCCCTGTCCGGCGTGGCCTCTCGGAGAGACAGCAGCAGCGACCATTAGTAAAACCCAATGGCAGCGGTCGTGGTTGCCAAGCTCCACGTTCTCTGGGGAGGCTGACAAGGAAGGGAACAAAGTTCTTCGCAAGCAACAGTAATCCCCCTGTTCCTCGCCTGGCCAGACGACTCTTGCCGACTCACACAAAGGCCTGAGCAAACACAGGGGCTGCATCCTGGCCAAAAGGCCTGAGCAAACCAGCACTGCATCCTGGTGGCCCAGAGCCAGGGCTGGGCCAGGCTGTCCTCAGTCACCGGTAGAGCACCCCCAGACACACACACACACAGCCTGGGGATCGAGAGGACCGACCGGGGTGGGGGAGGTGGGGGGAGGGTGAATTCCAGGGCGAGTGGGAGAAGCCCCCCGTTGGAAGCCTGGGGCTCGCATGTGCGGGGAGACCGCCAGCCGGAATGCAGGCGCTGACCTCAATCGCACAAGTGGAAAATCTGAGCCTGTCGGGCTCGGAAGGGGCCGGGAGGAATCCTGAAATCCTCCCCCACCCCCCCAGACGGCTTTCTGGCACACGCCTCGGAAGAGCAGTGAGCTCATGGGCCACCAGATGATCTTATCCCCAGTGATAGAAGGCACTGCTGGGCATTCGCGGACGGGGAAGTGTTCTCGAGGCCTCGCGCATTACAAAAAGAGTTTTCAGTAAGGTTCTCCTGTGAAGTGAAACACTGAAGACGGTTCAGGGGGTCGGGGTGGGGGAGAGCTACCCACAATCCCACCACGTTAACAAAACAACCCCGGTGGCTCCCTTCCAGATGTTCACAGGCCGAGAGATTTCCTGCAGCTGAGGAGTGATTGCAGCTCTGATTTCTCACCTCCACGTTGCAGACATTGTTTGTGTTTCCACACGCATTTCAGAATTATCACTAAATCTCTTCCCCCCCTCCTCGCCCCCCGAGCACTCGGAGGTGGCATGGGTATGGAGAACCACAAACCCTCAATTTTCACAGCACCGTCACAGAAACCAAGCAGGAGGGCTGAGAGCGGGGGGGGGGGGGGGGGGGGGGGGGGCGGGGGGGGGGGCGGGGGATGGGGGTGAAGGAGTTATAACCAGGAAGCCCTGCCTAAAGAGGCTGCCTCCGTTGGACATAAGGTGCAACATGGGAGCTGCCTGACACCCCAGACCGAGGGGGAAACCGGACACGGTCTAGGAAAAAACGTTTTCTTGGCTCTGGGCTCTGGGAAGAATCAGTTATGGAAGGGTGCTCCTAAGTGGTGTTTAAGAACAAAGGGTCCTCAACAGAATTTCTATCATTATGGCGGCTCCTTCCCTCGACCTTTGGTAAATGCCACAGGCATGGGACTCAGCGGGTCCTGAAAGACAGGGGGCAGGACGGGCAGCGGTTAGGAGTGACTCTGGTGCAGCCCCCTGGGTTAGAACCCCGGCTCTGCCGGCCACCCCCAGCCCCCCACCTGTTTGTGTAAATAAAGTTTTATTGGAACCCCACCACACTCACCCGTTTACATCACGTCTAAGGCTACCTCCGTGCTACAAAGGCAGACTTGAGGAGCTGCGACAGAGTCTGCGTGACCCCAAAAGTCCAACGTATTTACCATACGGCCCTTTAGGGAGAAGGTTTGCCAACGCCTCATCTAAAGAAAGGAATGAGGGGGCCTGTGCGTGGTCTGTGCGTGGCTGTTCGGGGCCCGATTCTAAGCCTCCCTCCGGCCTTGCTTGGGAGAAGTCTCTTGTCCTACATGGTGCCTCTCTGGGAATGACATTTTGGAGCGACGACTACAAAACACTCACAGAACCTCTTGGTAAGGCTGAGTTGTTTCAGGGCTTCCCAGGCCATGGGAAAATGGAGTCAGTGTTGCGACAACATGCCATCAGTATTCCAGGCTGCAGGGAGCCAGCGTGCAACGGGATGCCCAGAGGCGAAGCTTTTGTTTAGCACATACATTAATAAACACTGTAAGCCACTCCTCCGTTCCACTTCATGAACCTCCCTCAGTCTGCATCGCAAGGCAATTCCGCCATCGACTGATTAGCAGGTGGTGTCAGAATATATAAGGGATCAACGAGGCAGAGGCATGTCACGGTGCTTTACTGCTTCTCAGAAATTCCAGGAGTAAACAGAGTCGACCCAAGGTCGAGTGTCACGGACTCTGGGAAACAGGGCTGATTTTCTGGGCAAGGGCCCGGCTTTACCGCGCCCCATTAGGGGGTCACGAAGCCAAGCTCTGGTTAACCTGTCCGCAGTGGTATCCAGAGAGCCAAATCTCAATCACGGAAAACGTGGAGGGCATCTGTGAGCTTTTCCAGGGGTGTAGCATTTAGCTTAGCGGCCACAGATGGTATTTCCTGGACGACAGACGACAGACAGTGATGTTAAAACATGCCAGTTGAGAAGTTTAGCTAAGCAGCATTATCTTCACTGTATCCCGAACACCAACAGCTTTTGTTAGCGCGTCACAGCTCTGCCCTTCAACTTTCAGTTGGTACCGGTTGGGAGTCTGATGGCAAACAACAGCAACTGTCTTCCCAGGCTGAGTTCTTTCTGTGGACGACATCCACACTATGCAGAGCAGACAGCAGCTCAGTCCCTTCCACCCGTGCCTGACCATCCAACGGCCACGAGGCAGAGCAGTATCGTGGGCCCCACTTTACCAACAGCAGAATGAGCCTCTCGCTGGTCATGGGCTTTGGCTGCACTGGTCTCCTGGGCCTCTGGGAGCCACGCGGGTGTCAGAGCAGGGGTGCGGCACCGTCCGGGGTCTTCTAGAAAAGTCACGTCCAGCACAGCCTGATTAAGGGTATGCGTCCGTGCTCTAGACCAGAGCTTGGCAAACTACCGTGTCAGCGGCCAAATCCAGCCGGCTGCCTATTTGTGTAAGTAAAGTTTTGTCAGAACAGACACACAGATTTGTTTACAGACTGCCCGTGGCTGTTTCTGCGTTGCCAGGGCAGAGGAGAATGGCTGTGATACGCCGCATGACCCTGTAACGCCTAAAATGGTCACCACCCAGCCTTTTGCAGAAAGCTGACGGACCCCTGCGCTAGATAAGAGGGTGGCTCATCAGAGCACAGCCTGGACTAGGCCGTATGAATGAGAGGAGCAGGATTTCACAGGCGTCTGTGAGCACTTTTGAGACTCGGTGACCAACTAGGGTCCCTGGCTCGGGCAGCGCCGTCAGTGATGCAGGTCACGGACAGAAGAGCATACATCTGGGAAGAGGAGGACAGACGCGGATTTAGCCGAAGACTCCTGGAAGTGCAAGAGTCGACCAAAACTCCGGTTTAGAGGTCCGAAGAAAGGAGGAAACGTGGGCCTGGAGCTCCCTCCTCTGTCCTCTTGCCACACTCACTACCGTCAGCTTCCAGAACCACCACCTCCTGTGGCAGCTAGCTGCCACACTTTCATTCTCCGAGGGCAGGAACCGGAGCGTACGGGTTTGGGGGCTGCGCTCCCCTCCCCCCAAGGGCTCCAAAGGGACCCTTGCACAGGGCGGGCAGGTATCTGCTGTGGGCAGACTGGGAAGTCTCAGAGTCCAAGTTCTCACAGGGAAGGAGGCAACAAGGGACAGGGTGGGGCGGGGGATGGCTGTGGCCCCTGCCCGGGCTGAGGTCATGAGCTAACCCGGGATGCAAACCATCCAGGCACAGAAGATGAAGCGTCAATTCCCCGATTAGGGCAGCGTGGAGCCTGCAGGTGCCAAGCGAGGGGTGAGGACTGCTGCGGAGACCACACCAGAGTGAAGGCTGGCTGCACGGAGACCAAGTGGTTTTCTCAGTGGTACCCCAGGAAGAGAGTGGGCATCTTCAATACGGGACACACCGGAGCCAAGCCAGAGAAAGGCGACCGGTGGGCAGCCGACGCTTTTCAAGGCGTCCGTGACTCTCGGGCCGCCAGGGCTGGGAACCCCTGGTTTACATACACGAGGAAGCCAGGAAGCAGTGGAGGCAAGCAGTTCTGAATTCCTTAAACAACAGACTGACAACATGGCACTTCCAGAAGGAAGAAAGGGCCGGGCATCAGAGCACCAGGGGCCTCCAGCTGCCGAGCACGGCTTCAAATGCTCAGCGTGGCCTCAGATGACACGGCCTTGTGAGAGGCAGCTCTGGAATAACTGCAATTTCTACTTTTTCCCCATCCAATCTGGTTGAAGAACTGGTTTTGAAGAGACCGGCTGTTGCTTAACATTTCCAAGTCAGAGGACATAACCTCAAGTGACACTGGCGGGCTTCCCGGGAAGCACTCTGTCGGCAATAGATGCCCCGAGCTCGGAGGGACAATCTTCAACCTGTCCCCTAGCACCTTCCCTCCCTCCCCCGACCTCGGTAGTCTCCAAAACTACACTTGCCAGTGTGGACAACCTGAAAAAACTCAGAAGTCCTACAACACTGTAACATTCGGTGGCTCTCATGATATCAGATCTCAGGGTCTAAGAACAGGCAGAACGTTCTCCTTCCAAATGGTCAAGAACAGGGAATCCCACACTGACCCCATCGGTGCAGCTGCTGAGAGATGAACAGAGCAACTGTCAGTGAAGTGTCTCTTCCTTCCTCAGAGACGTCAGGAGGAGGCTGGGCTGCGAAACCATCCAGCTTAGCAAGTTGGCAAGGGGAGAGAGAGGTGAGCTTTGGAAAAGCCAGGTGTTGGGTCCACAGTGATTTCAGATCAACCAGGAGGGAAATGAACGGAAGAAGAAGGGAGCGATCACACTGAAGAGGGCGCACCACACGCTCGGGGATGCGACGCCTCAGCTGACCCTCAGCACTCTGCAGCTGAGCGCTCCAGGGCTCAGCGAGCGGCCGGGAGGGGTGCGCCTGACCCCAGGCCCGCTGTTGGCAGCACTGGCCCGAGAGCGGCACCCTGGGCTCCTTGGGCCCCGGGCACCTGCTCAGCTGCCTTGAACCCGAACGTCTGCTTTGTCGTCTGCACGAAGCGGGCGAGGTCTAAGCGCTCTCTCCGTTATTGCACCGAGCTGTAATCAGCTGTGCACGCGCCTATCTCCCACGCCGGGCTGTGGCATTTACTCCCCTGGGTGCCTTCACTGAGCCCTGCCGCTCAGCATCCTGAACGGCAGACCGGCCCCACGAGTGCAGACACGAAGTCTGAGATAACACACTAAGAAGATCACCTCGGAAAAGAACATTCGGAAACATAACACTCTACATGCATCCACGCGTGTGGCCGGCCACCTCTGCTGACGCTGAGCGGCTCTAGAGTGTAAGGCGACACCACAGGAAAATAGCTGCGTGGCGTCCAGAAACAGGAGAGTGGAAATGGCGAAGTCCTAAGAGAGTTTGCGAAGCACTGCCCCAAACCAAAAAGCCGCCATCTTGAAACCATCAGACTGATGACAAAATCTTTACTGAGTGCTTTTGGAAATACTACACGTTCTCCGTATTTATCCCCTTGAAATGTAATTTTTAAAGAACCTCGGAGACCAATAATAACCGTTCTTCAGTTTACTGCTTAGCTTTTAAAGGCAGAAAATTAAGAAACCAAACCTAACAGTTCAATGTGGCACAGGCACATTTCAAGAACGAGTTTGCAGTGAAAAATTAAAAAAAAAAACCCACATCTTTTCTTTATTTTTCCCAGAGTGGTAGTGCCGCAAATTAGAGAACTGTTGAGAAAACGGCAGAGAAGTGGTCCGAGGTGGTCTGAACCAGACGGGGCATCAGGGAAACCACCACTCAAGCACACAAGTGGCATTTTGTGATCAAATTTATTTTTTGTTTAAATTTCATTTACTTTGTTTTACTGTAATTTACACAAGAGACTGCCAAGTAAACTAGATATTTCACATTCACCACGCATTCCCTCAAATCTCCACAGTTGTTAGAAAAACATTAGAATCCATGCGCTGGGCTCTCATTTCCATGTGCGCCCCAGCTCCTGGTGATGCTACAGAGAGTTAAGTCCGTTAAAAGGAGAGGGCGAGACTCTTTATTTCACAAAATTAGCAATAATCTTCCTTGCACCAAACACTTTGCAGACAAAAATGATTATGCTTTGATAACACCTATCTTACAACAGTGCCCAGAGAGTAAACATCAGTCTTGATCCTGAGTACACGGAGGACATATGCAACGTGGGGTCCGTAGCCAAGGCTAACAGGGCATCGTGGGTGCGGCAGTGATCCTAAACACCCTGGTCCGAGTCACTGCCACCGCCTCGGTGGGGACACAGGGCGTGTGGGCAAACGAGAAGCGGGGCGGGCAGGACTGTCAGCAAATCAGATTACAAACTGATATGACCACAGGGGCCGGTGTGCTGTAGGAGGGACGAGAGGTTAAAGAAGACGGTTTGTGACCGGAAGGCTTCAACAATATCATTCTAGTCAAGCTTCCAGGACTGACAGGAGAAAACGGGTTTGGACAGAGAAAGCTGATAAAGATCTTACCTAGCTTCGTTTCCTTTTTTGAAGAAGGAAGAAGGAAGAAGACAAGGTGGCCGCGGCTGCTAACCAGCATGTTCGTGACGCTTACTCGTGACGGGTTCCAGTGGCGCCCTACTAGACAGCACCTCTAGTGAGGGCTAGGCCCTCAGCAGGGCCTCGGCCTAGGAAGGTGTGCGGACAGGCCAGTGCTGCCCCCCCAATTCCTCCCTCCCTCCCTGCTGTCTCAAAGGCGCCTTCTCTCTTAGGGTGTATTTCAATATGAAAAGAGCAAACCGTCATCACTATCTGTGTTCTACCTCGTAAGCTGTGAGGAATCGAGATCATTTGCATAGTTTCCAAGCTCTAATTTCAGAAAATAGTCATTCCAGAAACAAGACTCTGCGGAAATGCTCTACTTCCAAGTTTTCCTGCAGCCTACAATGCTATTAATTTCTTCATCAATTTCTTTGCTTGCCTAACAGCAGCCTGAAAATTGTATAGTGTTTATTATAAATCACAAGCCGTCATCTCCATTTTTGCTAGGTTTGACGTAGAAAAATACTTGAAATTTAAAATACAAAAATCCAATAAAAACCGGAACTTTTTTTTTTTTAAACGATTTTTCCCTCAGGGCAAACAAGTTAAAAATTGGTAGGTAACTACACTCCTTACTAATAGACATTGTCCAATTTGAATTTAAGATAATAACCATCCAGAAATAAATCGGTATAAATACATTCAGAGTTTACATTCCAGATTCATTGGAATACCAAAAGATGTTGAATACATTTTTCTGTGGGAGTCTGTTGCTTATGAGACTAAAATAAAATTTTATAAGAGATGGATTTAAAAGAACAGAAAAGTAATAAAAGGCTATGTTGTGTGTGTGTATACACACACACACACACACACACACACACACACACACACACACACACATATATTGGTCCACAATTCGACATTTATGAAACATACCAGCTAGTATTACATTGCAGTCAATTTGTCCATTAATGGTATTACTCTGATAATTATTAAAATCTGTTCCAGGTATATATATTGAAAATATTTTCTTTTGCATTCTTGCTGAAGATAGGTACAGTACTTTGGAGAAATTGTACTAATCCCTTCAGTATGTTTGTATGTACATATATACACGTGTGTGTGTTTTGATCTGTAGCTCTACATGCGTCTTATATACAGCTACAGACACACACACACACAAACATATATACACACGTGGTTGGGAATCTGTGCACGTGAGTACATAATCACAAGCACACGTCTGGGAAATGTCAACACTGCAAGATACCGGTCAGATTCTTCTTCACTCATCACTGGCTGCACTTGTTCCCCTCACTTGACCTTGATTACGTAACTGTAAGAAAAGCGAAAGACAGTGCCATGTGTTAAAATACAGAGAGACACAAAAAAATGTTATCATCCTGTCCCACCCCCCCCCCGCCCCCCCCCCCCCCGCGATCCTCAACATGGCAAAACTTCTGGCAGAAAATGTACCCCATATACTACATTTTAAAACTTTAATCTCTTGAAGATTTAGGTCTTACTAATGGTATAACATCTTGTTTCATCAGAGGGAAAATAAATTGCAAGTGGAAATAAGTCACAGAACTTAGAACTTAACAAAAGTAACCATAACTTAAATTTTTTTTTTTTTTTTTTTTTTTTTTTTAATGAACACTGAATTTAAACAAAGGGCTCTGGAGGAATCCTGGCAGAGTTCATTCATTCTTATTTGTACGACTACTTCTGTTCATGACTGAATACTTCGTTTCTCCCGTGTTCAATAACTCGATAATTCGAGAGCAGGGAGCCCATGTGAGGGGGCAGCAAAGAGCCACAGTGAGTGAGGAGAGTGTTTTAATCTTGTTCTTTTCCTCAATGAACATTATAGTTCAATAGTAACAACTGATGATTTGTGTTTACTCACACTAGTTTCAGTACGTGGGGGAGATTTTGAGGCTCTTTTCTCCCCCTTGAGGAAAATCTCTTCTCTGGGTGTATAGATTTGTGTTAGGGAAATAAGGCCGTAGAAATATTTTACATTACAGTGAAAACCAAAGTGTATTTATACATATTAAAGCTAACTATAAAGGTTAACTAAAGATTCAACATGATGGAAGACATCCAGATGTTCAGAAAAAATTTCAGCTACAAGGAATCACCGAGGTTGGCCTTTATGGTATGGGACGAAGGAGCTCTGGTTTAAGATGTTTTTACATATTTCCTTACTAACCACATATGATCCTATTGAGAAATAGGTCAATTAAGTGGCCATCAATGAAAAATCAGCTGGCTTCTAGGATAACACTACGGTATGCCGGGCAGCTGGTGTGTGTCTGATCCTAACACTAAGAACTGGAGAGGACTACATTCAACCTGCTCCCACAGATAAAACTCTTACAGAA